CATCTGCTGTTCCCGTTGTGGCTTCCTCTACATCGGGGAAACCAAGCGGAGGCTTGGGGACCGCTTTACAGAACACTTGCGCTCGGTTCGCACTAAACAACTGAACCTCCCAGTCGCGAACCATTTCAGCTCCCCCTCCCATTCCGCAGACGACATGTCCATCCTGGGCCTCCTGCAGTGCCACAACGATGCTACCTGACGGTTGCAGGAACAGCAACTCATATTCCGCTTGGGAACCCTGCAGCCCAATGATATCTATGTGGACTTCACAAGCTTCAAAATCTCCCGTCCCCCTACTGCTTCCCAAAACCAGCCCAGCTCATCTCCGCCTCCCTAACCTGTTCTTCGTCCCACCTATCCCCTGCTCCCACCTCAAGCCGCACCCCCATCTCCTACCTACTAACCTCATCCCGCCCCCTTGACCTATCCGTCCTCCCTGGACTGACCTATCTCCTCCCTACCTCCCCACCTCCACTCACCTTTACTGGTTCCATCCCTGCCTCTTTGACCTGTCTGTCTCCTCTCCACCTATCTTCTCCTCTATCCATCTTCTATCCGCCTCCCCCTCTCTCCCTATTTATTTCAGAACCCCCTTCCCCTCCCCCATTTCTGAAGAAGGGTCTCGGCCCGAAACGTCAGCTTTCCTGCTCCTCTGATGCTGCTTGGCCTGCTGTGTTCGTCCAGCTCTACACCTTGTTATCTCAGATTCTCCAGCATCTGCAGTTCCTAGTATCTCTGAAACAAGTATGTATAAATAGGTCTTTTTCAGGAATGCACTAGGTGATGTGCTACAGGATCAGTTTATTGTTTACATAAGTGACTTAGATGAAAGGAACAAAGCTATGTTGCTAAATTTGCTGATGACCTACATAGGTAGGAAGCATTAAGGGCATAAGGAGGCTACAAAATGATACTGGTAAGTTAAGTGAGTTGGCAGATGTGGCAAATGGCGTATAATGTGGTAAAATGTGAAATTCTCCTTTGTAGCAGGAAAAAAAATGAACATATTTTCCAGATGGTGGGAGATTGTAGAGCTCTAAATTTCAGAGGGAACTGGGTGTCCTCATACCTGAAATGCAATGGCTAGCTTGAAGGTGTAGCAAGTAATTGGATATCATTTATCGTGAGTCTGATTGACTACAAAAGTTGAGGTTATGCTTCAGTTACACAGGCACTGGTGAGACGGCATCTCTCGTGTCATGCACAGTATTGTTCAGTTTATTTAAGGGAGGATGCATTTGCGTCAGAAGCAGTTCAGAGAATGAATACTGGATATGGAACTTATCTTACAAGGCAAACTTAGTCAAGGCAGGCTTGTCTCCACTGGTTTTTAGAAGGGGAAGAGGCAACTTGATTGAAACATACAAAATCTTGAAGAGTCTAGATAATGTAGATGTGGAAAGGTTGTTTCCTCTTAAAGCAGAATCTAGACTTTTTAATAAAAAAGGAGTCACCCACTTATAACAGTGATTGAGCAATAAATTTTGTGAGCCATAAATCGTTGGAACTGTGTCCCTGAAAAGTTGCTGGTTGTAGAGTCCTCATATTTTTGAGGCAGAGGTAGATAGATTGTTAAGCACGAGTTTGAAAGGTTATCAGGCGTGGGCGAATGTGGATTTGAAATTACAATCAGATCACTCAACTGTTTTACAGACATTTCTTATTTCAATTTAAAATTGGCATTTATCATTGTAGTTTCACTACTTTTCTCACTTTTTTGTTTATCTCTTAAGTCATCTTGGCTTGCTGTTTGTGTCTTTCCTTCACCTCGCTTATCTTAAATCATTCAAGGTTTTCTACTAAGTAGCTTTTTATGCATTAACTTCCTCTCCTTCACAAGTGTGTCTATTTATAATATAAAATGATCCCTCTTTTATTAAGCACCCTGATTGAGAATACATGGGGTCCCCAACCTATGAATGCCTGTCCTTTGAATGCTCGTACATCAAAAGCATTCCCATGCAGCATTGGTAATTTTAAAGATCCAACATTGGATCATTTCTTGTGCCTACAAACAGCTACTTTATATTGTCCTGCATTGTGTTCTGACTTGTATACAAATCTACTTCATGAACAATCTCAAGAACGTAACTCATTCACATCCTAGGGACTGCCTGTACACACTAGAAAACTCATAACTTGCCTTTTTACTTTATTGATATAAACTGACCTGTTTATTTCCAATGTTTTCTGTTCATTTTAATGCGCTATCATTTTCTGGAAATGTATTTTCACATATTGTAGTGAGAATCCTTCACAAAATCATGGGGTAACGATCAAGTGATTAATTTTTCACCCATCTTTTATGGGATGTGGATGTCATTTGTTCCCCAAATCCAAATTGCCTTGAACCACTGCAGTCCATCTGATGTTGCCAAGTGGTCTGTCCAGTTTTATTTTATTTTACCTCTTACAGTTATCTTGCTATTTCTCATTTTTTTTTGAAGATGTTGGCACAGGAGGAGCACCACATACAACCTTGAAACATTTTTATCTGAAAGTTTTTGAACCGGGGAACTTCTCAAAGTGGATATCCAGACGTCAGTGTTGATAACACCTGTGTCCAGCCCAAAGAATTACTAATATAAAATGGAAGAGATTTGTACAAAGATCATTACCACAATCCATTGTGATGCTACCTGTGAAAGGTCTTATCTTAAAATGCTAAAACAAACAACCACTTTTTGCTCAGCTTTGTTCTACTGTTAATTTGGACTATTTCTTAAATTTGATAGAGCACCCTATTGTTCCAGATTTGAAAAGCTTGAACCTTTTAGTAATGCAATACCTCTTATTTAGGTTTGATTTTTATTATCTAATGTAGTTGTTTGAGAAACTTTAGCATGTTTAGGCCTAAAATTCAGCCTTGGACAATTTAAATGCTTAGTGTGGCAAACAAGGCAGATGGTCAACACTCAAAAGATCCCAAACTGTGAATGAAATGAGTAACCAATTGTTACATGAAACCTTTTACCAAAAGCGCAATAATCAGAAAAGATGCTGTGCTTTTCAGAGAGTGTCAGCAGAACCACTGTGGTGGACAGATGGATCAGGGTTTGATATTTCAAATAATGGATCACATCTCAGACAATGCAGCACTTCCTCAGTGTTGATTTTGTGTAGGAAGTTTGGAGTGGGGTTTGAATTTTCTGATACCCTTCTACCATTAATTTACCTCTACATAGTTAATGATGGGAACTGACTGTGGCTGATCTTTTATTCAACAATATAGAGGCCTACACCAAACTTTGGAGTAAGAAATTGCAGCAATGTGTGCCATGCCATTATCACAGCTGGAACAATTACCTACTCTCCATTTTGATTGATCGCACAGGGTCTGGTTTCCTACGCACCCACTACCTGTGACTGGGTGGGCGGCAAAGTGGCTGAGTGGTTAGCACTGCTGTCTCACAGCACCAGAGAGCCAGGTTTGACTCCACCTTCGGGCAACTGTCTGTGTGGAGTTTTCACATTCTCCCCATGATTGTGTGGGTTTCCTCCGGGTCATCTGGTTTCCTCCCACAGTCCAAAGGTGTGCAGGTTAGGTGGATTGCCCATGCTAAATTGCCCATAGTGTCCAGGGATGTACAGGTGGATTAGCCATGGGAAACAGGAATAGGGTAGGAGGGTGGGATGCTCTTTGGAGGATTGGTGTGGATTCAATGGGCCAAATGGTCTACTTCCACACTACAGGGATTATGTGATTCTGCACCCTTCAACCCGTTAGCATTTCAGTCTCTGTGATGGAAGACTGCTGTTGAAGTTAAATAGCATATTAAACAATCTAATGAAGGTTTGCTAACACGTTAGCATGTATATAGAAACTGTAAGAATTGATGTGGTTCGTGCAGAAGATTTCACTGAAATGAATTCTAATGCAAGGAGCGTGAGAATAACCAGTATTTTTCGGGTTGTCCATACTCGTGAATACTGCAAGGTTCAATTCTTCGGCCTCACTTACTTATTTACAATTTGTATTAATTTCTAAGATGAAGGAATGAAATATATATCCAGGTTTATTCATGATATGAAACTATATTTAATAATCATCTAAGATTCTGCAGACAGGCAGATTAAGCGAGTGTAGAAGGTGGTGACAATTGAATGTAACTAAGGAGAAGTGTAAGGCTGATCACTTTGAGGGAAAGCGTAAAAACGGAGTATTTGTTTTAAATGGTGAGAAACTGTTAAATGTTAGTGTTCACAGGGCTTTTGGGCTCTTTTGCATGAAACATGTAAATACAGCAATCAATTCAGCAAATGTATTTTTGGTTTTCATGGCAAAAGGCTTGGAGTATAAGAGAAAGACTGAGTACAATTGTACTTGCTTTGGTGAGACCAAAACAGGATCACTGCATACTATTTTGCTCTCAGTTCCTAAGGAAAGATATACTTGTTTTAGAGGTAGTACAGCAAACATTAGCTAAGTTGATTCCAGAGATGAGAGGTTATCTGATGAGGAGAAATTGAATTGAATGAGGCAATATTCTCTGGAGTTCAGAAAAAGAAGTAATTCCATTGAAACACGGAAGCTCCTGAGGGCTGACTGTATAAATGCTGAGAAGCTGTTGTCCCTGGCTGGCAAGTTCAGAGCAAAAGGGCATGGTCTCAGGGTCTCTCGTGCAAAAAGAAATCTCTTCACTCAGAGTTGTGATTTGTTCTAATTTTCTACCCCAGAGAGCTGATATTGCTAAACTGTCAGCTATATTCAAAGCTGAAGTGAATAGATTTTTGAGCTCAGAGTCAGCAGTGCTACATAGGAGTGGGGGCTGATGCTTACTGTATCGCAGCGCTGGCCAAAATAGTTTCAAGGTCTATTTTTGCTCCTATTTCTTGTGTTCTCATTTTTTGCATGTGTACCTGGTTCGTGATGTGACCTCACAACTGCATGCAATCTAAAACTGTTCTAATTTATGTGCATGTGCAAATTGTTTTAGAATATGGTATATCTGATAGTTCCAAGTATTGTTCATGTTACAAAATTTTTGTTCCCTTTATAGGTCAGACTGTGTAGAAATTCTTACAAATTGTGGAGACCATAGTAACTTTCCAGCAGGGCAGACCGCTGAAACAATTTGTAATCTTTTGTCCCCAGTTGATGATTTCAAGAATTGCATTCCACTCAAAAAGTATCTTGGTATGTATACCGAAGGGATGATTTTGTTTCTTTTTTGTCATTTTGAAGAAGCCAGTAGGTAGAGACCTTGAAACAACAATAATCTGAGTGCTTTCTGGCATCCTCTGAAAGTCTCAAATTTGCTTCAGAATCTGCAAATAACTTTTAATGCAGTCACTGCTGTTGTACATACAGATGCAGTAGCCACCTTTGCACGTAGCATGATCCTGCAAACAGCGAACGACTAATATGAATGATCAGTTAACATGCTTGTGGTCACGATTAAGAGATAAATGTTGGCTAGGTCACTTGAGAGCCTTGTGGTCTTCACACAATGCCATGGGGTCCTTAATTATCATGGAAACAGCAACTTATATTTATGGGTAGCTTTCACATAGTAGATGCCACTTCACAAGAGCATCGTTAAGCAGAAAATTAGGCTGAGCCAATGGAGTTACCATTATGCCAGATGAATAAAAAGCTTGATCAAAGAGACTTATTGTAAAGAGGAAAGAGAGGTAGAGAGTTTCAGGGAAGAAAAAAAGCAGAGGTTGACCAGGATAGGACTTTATTCCTTGGAACGTAGGAGAATGAGGGATGACCTTATTGAGGTGTATAAAATCATGAGGGGCATAGACAGGATGAATGCATATGGTTTTTTTCCCAGGGATGAGGAATTGAAAACTAGAGGGCATGGGTTTAGGATGAGAGGGGATAGATTGAGGAAGGGTCTCAGGGACAACTTCTTCACTCAGAGACTGGTGCGTATATGGAAGGGGCTGCCAGAGAAAGTGGTTGAGGCAAGTACAGTAACAACATTAAAATAAGATTGGATAGGGGCATGGATAGGAATGGTTTAGAAGGATTGGGACCAAATGCGGGCAGTTGGAACTAGCTGAGTGGGCACCATGGACCAGTTTGGGCTGAAGGGCCTGTTTCCATGCTGTATTACTCTATGACTCTATGAAAAACATAGAGATATGTAAATGGTAATATAATTGGTAGGTTTTATCTCTTGAAATATTTTGCAGGTTATCTTTCCTGTATTAAAACAGACATGCAGCTTTTGTCAAATACAACTTTGCCAAGGGTAATATTTAATTCATTTCTACATTGCAGCAGTGACCACTTCAAAGTGCTTCATTAGCTGCAAAATGCTTTGGGATATCCTGAGGTTGCAGAAGACATTATATAAGTGAAAGTTGTTTCTTTTTAATATGAAGAATCCTGCCTAATGTTGACTTGACTTGAATATTTCAGGCAGAAATGGTATTGTGAAAAGTTTATTTCAGCTGGAGCAATTGATTCTGTGCTTCTAAAACCTCATGATTGTGATCAATTTGATGGGTTTCCCCTAGATTGAATAGAATGAAGACCTGAAAATCGCTGAAGTGAGACATGTTGATTCATCTTGCAATCTTCAGGACAGACACAGTAATTTCAAACGCTATCAACAGTTTACACTACATGAGGGTGCTGACTGTTTGTTTGTCAGGTCGACTTCAATGGGCCAGGGTGTTAGTATGGAAAAAGAACTGTAAGCACCCTAAACTCCCTGGTAATTCAAAAAGATTTAAGGGTTGAATATATTCTTTCTGAATGAGAATGAGTCCTTGCATAAAAGTGTGTGTTGCTTTAAGCAAGTGTAAATGAGCCATATCATGAACAGAACATCCTGATTCTCTTCAATTTGTTGTTAGTGTAGTGTGAAATGATTTCCTATTAAGCTGCTAAAATTTTGAGTTACTTTGCCTTTGTAGGGAGTTTCTTTTTCAGGTGCAAAAGAGGTGTCCTTTCGCCAGTTTGCAAGTGTGTCATACATACCAGTGATTTGATTGGTATAGTCATTGTCGTGCAGGATAAGTTTGCTCTCTATTCCTGTTTTGAGCTTGCAAGGTGAGCACGTTCTATGGTCCCATTTGCAAGATTGCTGGTGTAGCTAACGCTATGCACATTGACCAAGATGAGCTCCAATTTGTTTATTGACTGATGAGAGAACTTTTAGTAGACAATAATGGAAAATCCATTAATGGGTTTCTCAACCAGCACGTCAAGAAAAGGGACTGTTCCATCTTAGATGTGAATTGAACATGGGATGGAGCTTCAGCTGATAAGTAAACTGTCAATCAATCAGCACCACCTTCTCCTGTAGTATAAATAGTTTTGAATGTTTGCTATTTTGCATTCTTTGCATTTGTCCTGGTGAGTGTAAGACAAAATGCTCTGGTAATATGTCTCCCTTTTAAGACTTATTCAAGTTCTGTACTACCAAGTGACTGCTTAGAATGAATACTCTTTTACAAGATGTATCTCAGGAACTCTATTATTTATATTTTTGAAAGCTCCAAGTCCTTTCCGCAACATTGTTGAAGAAGTCATTCATCCTTGTAACCCTAATGTGTGCCCCAATAACCATGTGTGTGAGGTAAATCGAAAGGGATGCCAACCTGGACAAGACTGTCTTCCCTACTTGTGTGTCCCAGGTAAGTGTTAGGGTATTGAGTTTTTGTTCTCACTGGATAATGAAGTTTCACTGAAAAGACCTCTGTAATTAGGCATTGTTGAAAATTGTGTCTGCCACTCTGCTGATTCCCCCCCACCTTGTGTTTTTTGCTACATTACCTTGTTGCCCACTGCCAGTCTCTTTCATAATGCCACTCCCTATATTGGAGCAAACTCAAAAGGGGTCTTTTTAAGACTTCATGATCTTCCAAAGGCTATTTGGTTCATTCTTCAGGAAAGATGGATTACTGGTCAATTTATAGACGTAGCTAGCATTGCTCTTCAAACATATTTCGACTTTTCAAATGTGAATGTAAGGATTACAAAGTGGAAGAAACCCTATCCATTAAAAACTTTTGCAGGAAATGCACAATCTCTTTATCAGACTATACTCTCCACTGTTGAAAGACCTGAGGTTATGAAGAAATCCACAACAGGCTTGATGTTCAGTTTATGATGGTTGTACTTGTAGTATTTGAAATTGCTATTTACTTAGTGGGTGTGAAATGGCGACAAATGAGAAGCTGAAACTCTGCAGCTTCCAAAAATGATTTTCAATGATTATCAAAACTGTGTAAAATATTAAATAGTCATCAATAAAATGGAATGGTGTTTTGAAGTAACGCTGACTATGACCTGGATTTTTGTAGAGTCAGGGAGATTCTGCAGACTTACAAAAATAGTGAGTGACACCCACACCCAGAAACTCACCTCCATTTCTGACAGAACTCATTTTGGCAGTAGGGAATAAAGTTGGGATATAACGAATATGAAAGGAAAACATGAACTCAGCAATGAATTTGAACTCAGTGCTGAATCGCAAATTATGGAATAATTGTAAATGCAGTTGTGCGTGGATAAAGTCTGTAGGAATGTCAAGCTGCAAAGTGTTTAAATCTCTTTCCCTTGAAAGAAAATTTAAAGACTCTCTGTCCTTGAGAGTTGAAAAAAATCTGTTATAACAATTACAGTAGCAGTTCATAGGCATTTTTTTTTCTGATGTGATCTAATTTCAATGCCTCAGGCTTTGTGTGACCATAGAGTAAAGACTTAGGGTTTCGGGGATGGTGGGAAAGGATAATTATTAAGCAGGTTAGGGTAGAAGGTGTGGAGTAATGGTTGAATGGTTGGAGTTAAGAGTTGTTCACTGGCAATGGGTGACATTTTTGACAGGAAATTTAGAGTTGTTTAAGGTTATTTATGATCTTAAAATAGTGAAGACTCGGGGGTTTTTTAATCAGGCTGTGTATGCACTGAATAGGCCGGGGGGAAAAGATGAATAAGCCACAATCACTGACAGAAAAGAAAAACATAAACATTTAAAATATCCTGGCAGCTCTTGAGACTCAGTCCAAGCTCCATGACTGTAATTGCTGACTCGGAGGCTGTAGCACCCAAACCTCATCCTGTAACCCCTCTGGAGATCATGACCCACAGTTCAGGAACTCCTGTCCTCAGGATTAGCATCATGGTGTCATTAATGTTCAGTCGTTTTCCACAACCTTCATTATCTCAGTCAGAGATCCTAAATTAACAGTTTGATAGATGATTCAGATAGGTTTGTGATGATTAACAATCCTCAATGTGAGGTTATGAATGTAGGATTATTTGCTTTATAAGGGATTAACTACTTGATAGTTAAATGGTTTGAATGGGTTATCGTGAATTTCAGATTTTCTTTACTACAGTTAAGGCTTTAAAAATTTTTTGAACTTTGTTTAATGGCAGCATGGCTCCCGAGGTCTGCTGATGGTGGATACTGGGTGAGTTGGCATGGAGGGTGTAAGTGCAAAGAATAGTGGGTATTGGTATAAGCTGGCATTGAGGCTATAGGACCAGGAGCTGGCATAATCTGTCATGGATGAGGATTAAGTTCAGGATGGTTGAGGACAGGGATGGGAATGGGGATGGATTAGGTTGAGGATAGAGATGGTTGAGAAGCGGCTATAAGACATGAAGGCTAGAGGGCCTGGTATTTGACAAAACAAGTAGATGAAGTCCAACAGAATCAAGCCAGGCCTTTTTAAACAGCCTGTCTTGGCACCTGGAGCATTTGATCTCTGTCCAGGGGCTATGGGCCCAATTCTGTCCTGCACCTGCACTCGACAACAAAGCCTTTACCGTTCTGGTGAGTTTCTCCTGAGGCAGGAGCATTGATTTTATTTGATGTTATTATTGTCACATACCTAGTGAAAAGTTTTGTTTTGCGTGCAGTACAGGCACATCATAACGTACAAAGTGCATAAAGGCGAGGAGCGAACAGAGCGAGGAATACAATGTTACGGCTGCAGACAAGAGGCCAAAGCGGGAGGTCAACATTAAACTTGAAATTTGAGAGGTCCATTCAGAAGTGTAATGACAGCAGGAAAGAAGCTGTTCTTGAATCTGTTGGTATCCGTACTTAAGCTTTACTATCTCCTGCCTGATGGAAGAGATTGTAACCAGGGTGGGAGGGGTCTTTGATTATGTTGGCTGCCTGTCCGAGGCAGTGAAAAGTATAAATGGAGTCAATGGATGGAAGAGTCAATAAATGTGGATCTGGAAATGCACAGCCAGTCAGACAGTGTCTGAAGAGCAAGAAAGTCAATGTTTCGAGCCGAAAAGTTGACTTTCCTGCTCCTCGATGCTGTCTGACTGGCTGTCCTTTTCCAGTTCCACATTTATTGACTCTAACTTCCAGCATCTGCAGTCCTTACTGTTTCCAAGTCAATAGACGGAAGGTTGGCTTGTGTCATGGACTTGTGTTCACAACTCTCTATAGTTTCTTACGGCCCTGGGCAGAGCAGTTGCTGTACCAAGCCACGATGCATCTGAATAGAATGCCTTTTATGGTGCATCAATAAAAATTGGTCAGAGTTTTTATGGACATGAGAAATTTCCTTAGCCTCCTAAGAAAGCAGAGGCATTGTAGTGTTTTCTTGACTGTCGCTTCAGTGTGGATGGTTCAAGACAGATTGTGGTGATCATCACTCCAAGGAACTTGACGCTTTTGACCATCTCCACCTCAGCTTGATTGATGGAGGTAAGGGCATGCTCTCCACCTTGCTTCCTGAAGTCAGTGACCAGCTGTTTTGCTGACGTTGTGGGAGAGATTGTTATCTTTACATCATGCTACCAAGCACTCTGTCTCTTTCCTGAATTCCGTCTCGTCATTGGTTGACATATGGCCTACAGTAGTGGTGTCATCACCGAACTTGTAATTGGAGTTAGGATAAAATTTGGCCACACAGTCATGAGTGTACAGAGAGTATAGTAAGGGGCTGAGAACACAGCCTTGTGGGATGCTGGTGTTGAGATTGTTGTGGAAGAGGTGTTGTTGCCTATTCTCACTGATTGCGGTCTGTGGGTCAGGAAGTCGAGGATCCAGTTGTAGAGGGCACAGCAGAGACCTAGGTCTTAGAGTTTGGAGATCAGTTTGGTTGGAATTATAGTGTTGACTACACTCCACCTTCAATGAATAGGAGCTTGGCGTAGGTGTCCTTGTTATCCAGATGTTCCAGGGATGAGTGTAGGGCCAAGGAGATGGTGTCTGCTGTAGACTTGTTGCAATGGTAAGTGAATTGCGAGGGATCAGGGCAGGCTGGGAGTTGATATGAGCCATGATTAACCTCTCGAAGCACTTCATAATTATGGAGGTCAGAGCCACTGGGTGGTAGTCATTGAGGCACGCTGCATGAGTCTTCTTTGGTACTGGGATGATAGTGGCCTTCTTGCAGCAGGTAGGGACTTAAGATCATAGTAAGAAGAGGCTAAAGATGTCAGCAAATACTCCCGCCAGCTGGTATGTGCAGGATCTGAGCGCACAGCCAGGGACTCCACCTGGGCCAGTCGCTTTCCATGGGGTCTCTCTCAAAAAAGCTGATATGACGTCTTCAGTGGTGACTGAGGGCACTGATGAATCTGAGGCTGTCAGGCCAGGTGACACTGTTTCATTGACCTTCTGTTTTTGACAGTTTAGTGAACTAGCATTGAGGCAGAAAGTCTCCGAACTCCAACTAACCACCTTGGCAACAGTAAGTTGGAACTGTCACTTCAAAGTAAGACAGGAATGTACTCTTAAATTGTTGAAAAGTAATTTTGAAACAGATACTAGGAAGAGCTCCTTTATTCAAAATAACCTTTTGTGTTGGATAATCCATCTGACAGCCATTTCAGACAAAGCATTTGCAAATTCTTCATTCGTTATTGATTCTGATTATAGAGAAAGTTAAAGTTCTTGTGACATGGACTTCAATTAAAGTGTTTAAGGACAGTAAAAAATGGGACAGCTGGTCTAGCTTCCACTGTTTCCAGTTCATTTAATCTTCTCATGAAAAATATGAAACAAGCCCAATTTACTAGTTTTGGTTTTTATTATATACCATAACATAAATAACTCAAAAATTCAAGCTCTTCATGTTTGAAGATTGGAGATAGAACAAGTAATGAAGCGCAAAACAATCTGGTTCAGAAAGATTTTGATAATTTAGTGAACAAGCAGTGTAGATAAAAATACAGTTCCAAAAGCTTAAACTATAATTCAGTACAGCCAAAAGTGAAGATTTAGTCTAGAAGCAAGGAACCAAATTTATTGTTGTATTGAGTGAAACAGTCACACTGTGTATTGATCAAGAAAGCTATTTGGAAGTTCTGAAGAAAATTCAATAAAATTGAATTCAATTTTAGTTTTACTTGGGGGGAATCATCCCAGCCCCCTGAATGGCATTGACATTGGTAAGTCAGTTGAGAAAGTTGTGTGAGATCAGTCAAGATGAAATTCTCTACATCAAGGGGGAAAAGGCATCTGGTGTTCTTGTAATCCTACAAGTGAGCAATGAAGGACCTAATTAATCAGTCATTCTTACCTAATATCACCTCATTGGCATGCAGTTTCCTATTCTCCCAACTGCTGGATAGGAACTAGACGGTGACAGTTCCAGACATGAAAGTCAGAACTCCAGCTTCCCTCGTGCTCCTCCAGGCCTCTGTCTTGGACTGCAGT